CCATTAATACCGTGCACACGTTTCGAGTTTGATATTATCGTTTACAAAAAGTGAAATTATAGGTACTATTTTTGGAGGGGCGGGCTATTATAGTAGCTGCATATAATACACGGTGACCCGTGTGAAACATGCGTATCGTTGACACGTTGGAATGGCCGAGTAAAGTGAAGAATGGTGTTTGGTACTTTTTTTTTTTTTATTGAGAATTATAATACTTGTTGTATACATGTATAATAATAATAATAATAATGTGATATCATATGCGTTAATGGAAATACGGTCGTGCGGCCCAGCCGTCCCGTCGCCCATATCGGTTCGTCATCATTAATCTTGGCCGTTGTCAATGGACCGTTTTATTTTCCACGACCGACTGCTATTTGTCACCCACCGCTGCCGGACAGTACACATTGGCGGCGCGCATCGTTAATCACTCGGTAGTCCGATGTTGTAGTATTTATTATATTACTATTATCATTGTACAGGTAAACTTCGAAAATAAAATACAAACGACGTGCTATCCTATTCTGAACGCGCTTTGGCCGGTATCATACATGCCTACGATTATTTTATTGTTGTAGTCATGTACGACATCAGCAATATTCTAGACAGATGGCGCAGAGTCGTATTTACCGAGTCGTGTATACCTACCTACGTTCATACAACAAGTAATACCAATAGTAATGGTAGATTAAAAAAAAAATAAAACCGCCGTGTTGTCTTCGTGACCGTCTGGCTGGTTGTGAGAACAGACTCAGAATCGCCATTAAAATCCATATTGTGGTGGCTATGATTTCAAAATTGAAATATCCGTAAGCACCCGTAAAAAATGAAATGTCATTATTGATTATTTTTAACTCATTATATGACCACATACCATCATCTTTATTTTATCTACATTGTCAAGTAAAATTACTTACCCCAATTTTCATTTTTTTTCACCGCTAAACGCCGTAACTACCTACCTTTTACATCAAACCAGTCAACTCACTTGATTTTCAATTGCAAAACTTCTCCGTCCAGCATATTAGGTATAGATTCTTGTAGGGTGAAGGAAGGTATTTTCGTGGCATAAGCAATTTCGTGATATAGTTTGTTGATCGTATCGCGTAATTCCCTATTAGAAAATTATCTTGAAAATCACACTGATTGTTAAAATAACTGTGTTTTAAGAATCAGTGTGATTTTCAAGACAATTTTCTAATAGGGAATTACGCGATACCATCAACAAACTATATCACGAAATTGCTTATGCCACGAAAATACCTTCCTTCGCCCTATAATGCATTTTGGTATTTAAAATTACTCGATTTAACGGATTTCACTTATCCAGCAACTATAATACGGTTGCCTTTGCAAAATATTCCTTTTAAATTTGTTTTCAAACAACTCTCCTCCTTTGAGTATATTATGTAATCATAATATGTTAAATACATTTAAAAATCCGTGTTATCATTATTATTGTAGTATCCCAAAGTTATATAATAAAACAGGTCACGAATATTTTTACGTATATTTTATTACAGATGTTTTCACACATAATGTAACGTTTCTATAATCTTATTTACAAAACTTTATGTGTTAAAGGTTTTGAAAAAAATGTTGAAAACTCAAAAGATATTGGCGAAGTCAACTAGAAGATACGCAATACAATTTAGGTTATTCGTCACAACACAAAAATGAAAAATTTAAACTATTATATGTTACAGAAAGAGTAGCAGTAGTACAATACAAACTATAAATGTGTTCAAAATGAATTGAAAAAAAAAATAATCGTATGCAATATTCAGCTTTTATTTCAAAACATTTGATTAAGAATAATTAATTTGTAATTTCAACGTATCTAAACCCTAATTTCAAAAAGTATTTCTGTTTGACCTCTTTCACGTATTTTTCAATCTGCAATTTTACCAAATCCTCAGAGTATCTACGTACCCCATGAGGCTGGTTACGTTGTTTCATTTTCTATTGTTTTTGCATCCATTGAATGGATTTGATTAAGATCAATATTGTGAGCTTTTTTTGGTAGAATGCAGTATATTTTTTTCATTAAAGGTAACAATACACGTTTTACGTAGTATCTTAACCTTATACTAACTGTACCACGTAATTCATTGAAATATTCATCGGCGTTCCCATGGGATTTATAATTGTAAGAATATATTTTAGTCTTTATATCTCGAATCTCAGTTACGGTAACTATAAGTGATTGTATATTGTTTCGTATTATATCAAATTTTTGCATTTTTTTCAACGCTTCTAATAAATATGTCATTGCACATATTATGTAATCAAACATTTGTCTACCACTTTCAAATTGTTCCAAAAGAGTATTGAAGAGTTTATACGATTTGGTATAGTTACCATCGCGTACTTTAAAAGTCACATTAAAGAATTTATAACTATTGTGGTAATCTCTTTGGCCTAGTTCTCTTTTTTTTGCATATCTAATCGCATTACCGCATTCGTTCAAAATAGGTTTTGTCAAATCTATGAACTTGACCAAAGCAGTTGCATACACACATCCCAACAGCTCAGTGGTCATGCAGTATTTTTCCTCGTAGTTTTCTTCAGTGACTTTAAATTGATTGGGTTCTTTAGAGGCAATAAATAGATTTATTCCTGAAAAAGAACGCTGATCGTGTGTATTATCGTTATATTTGACTTCCACGTGATTGAGCTCACTCCATCCATCACTTCTTAGAAGTATATTTAGTTGGTTGATAAGTTCTTGATTATCTTTTTTATCCAACAAAAACTGCCGCGAGAATGATGGGAGTGTTAATAAAAATAATAGATTCGTAGCTACGTTATAAAACATTTTACCAGCAAGTATTACTATTTCGTGCTATGTTTCAACACAAAAAAAAATTGTATGAAGGTTACATTTATTCTCATACAGATAGCTGTTAGTTAAACGGTTCGCATTTGAAAATGTGTATACTTCTAAATAAAATGAAATAAATATGTTTAGTGTATATTATTATTGTTTGTTTATTTGTAATAGTCTTTGTTTATTCGTTAACATAAATAATGTCAGACTGTAGTTTTTTTTTGTTTAACATTGAAAACACGAGTTCGCATTTAATAGTAATGAACATTTTTTTGTAGCAAAAAGCATGTTAAACTTCAAAAACTACAAAAACTCTGCCTTTGCACTATATTCCTTTTAAATTTGTTTTCGATTTATTCTCCTTCTTTGAATATATTATGCTGAGATGCATGAAATATACTGATTATGTTTTTAAATATCATTCTTTATTATTTTTTAAATATTATTTTATAAAATTTATATAAACACATAATAATAAACTAAGCCTAACCATTATAATATAATATCTATGTGACGGACAACTATACTGGACAATTTATCTTCTTCTTCTTTCCCGATTCTGGATTGGAGAATTTTCGACCATTAAAAAATGTTCAATTCGTAGTAAATTATCTAGTACAGTTTGAAATTTAGAATAGTAATTGTTAGATACCATTTTGATATAAATTTGCCTAAAGTGCATAGACGAACCACCGTAGAAACTCTGCTAAATAACGTCATGTTGATTAAAACAACACTTTTTTTTTTTAATAGAAACTTATGCAGTAAAAAATTGTTTCTATACTTTTATTTTTAAACCAATAAAAAAAAACCTTGTGATGCTTATAATACATTTATAATAATTTGTGTTTTATGTCTTTTTTGCTAATGGAGGTAGTATGTGAATAAATACCAAGTAATGTTAATTTATTTAAAAACCGATAAGCCAAAACACTCCGTCCTTCATTTAGCACTTTTGCCATCGTCACACATTATTTATTCATAACACGAGAGCTGTTTTGCGCTATACCTATACTATATTTTAAAAGCATTAGCTCTAATAAACCAAATTAGATAGGTACCTGTTTGCTTTCTGTCCTTACATTTACATTATACATACTTATAGTGTTTATTGGATTAAAATATCAAACACTTTTACGTAATGTTTATATACCACTATATATATTGTATAAGACAGAAGAATTATTAGGAAATTAAATTGAGCAATTTTTAAATAAATTTAAGAATATACGAATAAATAAAAATCTTAATGTAAATCTGAATGCATATTATGCAGTTCGATTGGAGATTCAGAAATACCTAGTTACATTTTCCACACAATCACTTCGAACACCTTCAATAAAATAATTTAATAGCTTAAATGACCTTAAGAAGATACAATAATGTAAAAAAATCCTATTAACAATTTACATTCATCCAGTAGTAATTATATTTATTCTCATTTGCAATAATATGTTTTTATTTTACTGTAATGTGATTCGAGATTCACGATGGCGATATCAGCTGCTCAATTTACTATACCGTATGGTATCGGTTAGCAAATACCTTAAATCGCACCTACAGTTTCCCACTCAGTATCCCACGGTATCACGAGGATATAAGTATGCACAGCGCACACTATTGTCTTTTTTTCTATAGTATCTATGTTTGGTATTTTATAGAATAGGCAAACATTTAAAAAAAACACACGGAATCCGCTATCTTTGTGCAGATATTGGACATTGAATAAAAGAGATAAAAGCAAAATGACTATGCCAGACAGTATTAGGAATGAGTCTATAAGTGGAAGCTTAGGAGTATTGTTAATTATAGCAGGGTGGCGGACGAAGAAATGATGGTAAATTTATGGAGAATGATTTATTGGCTACCCAACTTCGTCTACTCTGACCGAGTGTTTGCAGTTTGATACATTTTATCTCTCTAAATAAATTATTTCAGGTTAAATGGCATGTTGTTTTCAAATATTTGTAATTTATTACAGTTTAGTTAGATGTTCTATGACTATGGTTTTGTAGTAAATAAGACACAATACATTGAAAAAAGCTCAGCTCCAAGGCAATACTAATAGACTGTTACGATTTTTGGCAGTGGTCAATTTAGAACATCGATTTTAGTAACGGTTTTGTTACATAAAAGAAGATCAAATAATATGTATTAGGTAATACGAAGATGTTTTTATTTATATTTTAAATACATAGATGCATTAGGTAAAATACGGTTTGGCGTACAAAAACGGACGATTCGATTTATTTATCTGTGAGAATGAGTTTAAGATGCAAAATAGGAAGCTTCTTGTGTTCCGTGTGATCGTCGGTAGATCTTTGTCCATCGATGGCCAAATGATATTTTCCCGGTGTACTTGGTGTACGTTTGAATTTCAATACCCAAATGCCTTTGGAGTTCTGTTTGATTTTAAATCTATCCGGAACGTCATCCGCTGGAACTACGGAGTATTGGTAATTATCCTATAAGAAAAGTGTTTAATAGGCCTTAATAGTTTTTACAAAAAAGCACTACCCAATACAAAGCAATTAACAACAAAAAGGTTTATTAAAAAATAAATTCAGTTCTAATTGCTTAACACGGTTTACCTTTACAGCCGATAGCAGTTTTAATATTTGAGCCTTTCGTTTTGCGTCGGACATCTTCATTTTTATGGTCGTGTGAATTCCGTCATCTCGGTAGTGCCTGAACTTGAGTTTTACCTATTGGTCAAATTTAGCGTTGAAACGATAAGCGATAATTTTAACATAGGTGCAAATCATACCGGTTCTTGTCCCGTCTTGTTTTGCCATTGATCAGTGTCGTACGGGAGGGCATCGATCGAGACGTTGGCCGTTCTCTTATGCCGAAACCTGCCCTCGCCGTTTATCTTAAGTTGAAATAATTGATTAATTTTCAAGTCAGGTTCTTTGATTTGTAATACTAATAATATTGTGTTTACCTTGCAAGAGAAACATCCTTCGGTCGATATTACTTTGCCGCCATTGCTTTTTGGAATCAATTCTGGTTCGATTGGGAACGTAGGGATATCGCCGAGGTCTGGTGGCCCGATGAACGAACCACTAGTCAGTGGACTGATCGTTGACAAACAGTGTCCCTAAACAAAATTGCACGAGTACACGTTATTTTAAGGTAGGTTTGACGATAGTTATTTATCAATAATCAAACTAACAATCACTGAAACAAATCATTTCAGATTAAATTACATTTTTCGTAACTCTTTTTATTATATATTATTAGTTTTAGCATTACATTTGCTACTCGGTGCAACTTAATTCATAATCTACTGCTTTTTCCCAATTCGTTTTACCCTTTGTTCTTACACAGAAATATAATCAAAAGCTGTTATTGAATTTCACTGCTGTTTACATATTGGTGTTGTAATATTATAATTTTAAAGTCAATCGATTCATGTTGACAAATATTCCAGACGTTCGGTATAAATATGTATAGGTGCAATACGAAAGTTAACGATGGACGAGATATTGCTACTTTCAAAGCATCTGATAAAACAAAAACTCTATTCAGAAAAACTTGTACACAAAATTCAACGGTAATCAATGGCATTCTGAAAACTTATACGTATACATTTTTCTTTAGGCTTCGAGTGACTGCATATTTACAATACAACATGGTGTAATTTTGCGTTTTCTCAAACTTCGTTGCCTCAAAGTGTTGCTGTTCTATATAAGAAGGCGGCGTATAGTATATTGTCTTACCTGCCCAATCCTCTGATAGCCTGCGGGACATCCACAAGAAAATCCGTTTTGACCGTGTGGGATGCAACCGAAAGCGCATGGACTTGAGTAACATCCTCTGCCAATACTTGCACTACCGCCAATCACGTTACCGCCGTTCGCACCGATTAAGCCGCCGCCTTGCTGGAGATGACCAAAAAGATTGTATTCATAACAGTTGCAGAAAATACAACTTAAACGCATTAAGAACGTGCAAGACGTATGATACCTGCGAAAAGGGTCTGCCTCCACACTCTTGAGACATGGGATCGTAGAGTTGACCATTGGAACAAACGCATTGGTAACCGCCAACGGTGTTAATGCAATTCAAGTTAGGATCGCACGGCGATTCCAAACACTCGTTAATATCGATACATTCGCCACGATTGCCCAATTTTCGAAAACCGCGCGGACAACCGCAGTTGTGAGTTGCATTTTGAGAGTTCTTAAAATAAATAATTATAATACAAAAGTTATTTTATAAAAACAGTAACTTATCGGTCGAAATACATTTCGCACCTCTAGATCAAGACTGCCGCAACTCGTCAATTTGCAGTTATGAGATATTTTCAAATAGTAAAAAAAATTAGCTCTATATAGTCCAAGAACGTCACATTCAATATAGAGTTTCATTTGGCCACCAAAAAAAATGTGTCAGTATTGAATCTGTTTAATTTTTAGCTAAATATCAAAGAAAAAGTGCCATATTTACTTTACAACAGTATTACAATTTTAATTTACCCAAATAATCACTCAAGTTAAAATTCAAGACTGCCTTATTTCAATTTTTATTCAGTGTTCTTACACTGAATAAAAACCATAATTTTCGTGCGATCTGTTGAGTGAAAAACAGCAACAATTAAAGTTTTAGCGGTATTGCCTTTTATAGTTTGAATTCCATACTGTCATGTTTTAGTATATGGTGATCTTTAAAAACAATATATAAAAGCAATACAGACATTCACTTCACAGTGTTGCATTCACTTAAAAAATTGTAAAACGCCATAAGTCTAACTTTCAGGGTTTCAGGGAGTATTTCATAATATTTGAAAATGTCATATTGTAAAACATGTTTGTAGGTATTTAAGTTTTTAGTTTCAAATGCCCAAGCAAAGAACCCTTAATAATATCTTATTTTTAAACTTCAAATCTATTTTTCTTAAATCTATAAATTTTGAGTTGTGGCGGTGTTGAGCTGCGATTTATTTATAATAGTATTGTTATGTATAACAATGATAGTTTTTTTTTTTGTTAAAATTGTATAAAAGTTAGTTTAAAAATGAACAAATATTGAAATTTACCTGCCGATCGTTACATCCGACGGAAGTGTCGCATTCCGGTCCAAAGCAATCGTTCTGATTGTTTTTGGACTGCTTGGGATCAATACAACGGTTACCGGAAGTATCTAGCTTGTACGGTTTCGGGCACAGACACCGATAACTTCCCAAAGTATTAACACAATTTCCCGGTGGTAAGCAGGCGTTAGGGTCTTGGCGACACTCGTCGATATCTGAAGAGAAAATCGCAAAAATCTTATAACAAAACAACATACATTTTTCAACTTTTAAAACTATTATTTTTGTATGTAAATAATTTTTTTTTTTTAGCCATGTGTTCAGCCAGAGAAAAATAGGAATAAATTATTGTGTATAATCTTTGTATTTTAATATTATTTTTATAAGTGTTATTATAGTGTTGTCGAAAGAGATGGATCTGTAAAATCTTGTCAAAAACTAATCGTCTCTAAACGGCTAGTGCTACCTATTGGCTTAGAATGGCGTTGCGCTGTGTACGTGATAGAACGTACCCACGCTAGATGGCAGCACAGTTTATACTTTCTTAAATATTTTCATTATACAAATTACAGAAATACATGCCAATAATATAGACTATTGTTAAATTATATTTATTTCTAGTTAAATATTATATTTTATCTATGAAATGAATTAATTAAAACTGTACAACAAAATTTGACCTTTTTTGGAACATAACCTCAAAACACATCTTTTTTTTTCACCTAATCCAAATCTGAAGAATGTCTATTTTTAAAAATCTCCTCTTGAGTTGTAAAAATCTACGTTTTGTCGCGTTTTGTACGCTTGCGTTGTTTTCTAAAATAATTTATAAATAGAGTTTTCTATTCTGTTTGCTGAATTTGGAACTGATTTATGATGAACAAGGTGTAGATGCTTTTTAAAACACGAAATTAAAGTAGAAAATTCTGACTTTTGTTTTCATGTTGCTTAGGTACAACCCTGGAGGTGATATAAAAAATAAACAATTATTGTGCTAAGGAAAAATCTGAGGCCAGATTCGGATTAAGCACACAATAAAATAAATATACCTATTTTGGTTCTTGTTTCAAAAGGTTATTTTAGATTTAGGTTAGATTTTCACTATATGCTTGTACACGTATAAAATGTATACAAAATGATTTGATTGAAGGACGTTAATTTACCTAAACAATTATCACCGGATTGCCGGTAACCCAGTTGACAGCCACACTTGTACGATCCGTGAGTATTAATACAAAGTTGTTGGCAAATATGTTGGCCGGTGGTACATTCGTCCAAATCGCGACAAGTACTGTTGTCCGGATTCAACAAATATCCAGCCGGACATCCACAAGAGAAACCTCCTTCGAAGTTCTGACAAGACATTTCGCACGGCGATGGATTCAGTAGACACTCGTTAACATCTACCAACAAAATTATAATAGAAATGATATTGGACCTATATCGATTTTTTTATGATGAAATTTGTTTTACAAAACTTCATAATATTCGATTTAATTTTTGTCTTGAAAGTGTCATTTTTCACTCAACATAAAACTCATGAGAAACTTAAACGATACACCTTACATGACAATTTTTTGGGGCCTATATGTGATATTGCCTTCCTTGACCGATGAATACACCGACGAATGACTTACCATTGCAATGAATTCCAGTGTGGTCGACTTTATACGCTTTATTGCAGATGCACCGGTATGAACCTAACGTGTTAATGCATTTGCCATTTTTGCACAGATCGGGCATAATCTCGCATTCGTCAATATCTAAATTATAAAAACGGTGAACATATAATGTCATCATAATAATATAAACTCCAAACAATATTTAAATAGGTATTAGCTTAAATAAACAATTACCTTGCCCATCAATCGTGTAACCCGACTCCAAACAAAGCTGTCGAAATGATTCTGAAGATGGAGACGGGCATGGCTGGCATTGAGGACCCCAAGCGGAAGCCATTGAACAACAGCAATCTGCTTTTGTCACGGCTTTGTACGTTTGATTTAGCTCTCCGTGGTTGACGCATCTGCCATTTAACAGATGTTTATAGCAGAATCCCACCCTAGAATCTTAAGAAAATAAAATTAATTTTAATATGGAAATTATAAAATGATTGGAAAACGTTGAAATTAATCACATTGATAGTTTCGCCTACCTATACACTGTTTCCCGTCGTAGCTGGTTTTGAATCCGTCGTAACACTCGCATTTAAAAGAGCCCGGCAAATTGACACAAAAACCGTTCTGGCAAATATTGGGATTTTCTTTACATTCATTGATATCTTTACACTCCTCGCTTCCCGCATGAACGTACCCCTCTGGGCAAATGCATGCAAATGATCCGATAAGGTTTTTACACGAAAATTTACAGTTATTAGCTGGCGTGACACATTCGTCGACATCTAAATAAATCAAATATATGGCATTCGTCTTTAAGGGGTTTTGCTTCTTTATATTATAATTTCTTATACAGAAGTAATACAAAATCATTTAGTAACGTACCTTGACAATGTCTACCGTCCGGAGCTAAAGCGTATCCGTATGGACATATGCACCTAAACGATCCAGGAACATTATGACAACGGAAGGCACATTGATTGGCCATTTCGAGACATTCGTTCACGTCTTCACAAACCTTGCAATTTAAAAAAAAAAGTATATCTTGTTTCAAAACGAATCACGCGCTGTGGACATTACACATTATGTCTATTATCTTACTTGTGTAGGACCTGGAGCAAACCCGTCTGCGCATATACATTCGAATCCACCTTGTAGGTTTACGCACGTTCCATTTCCACAAATATTGACGTTGATTTTACACTCGTTTTCATCCACGCATTTTTTCCCAGTAGAATCCAAAATATACCCAACTGGACATTCACATCGGTAAGACCCGTCAGTGTTTATACACTCACCGCCATCGCATGGATTCATCATGAAGTCACACTCGTTGAGATCTTCACCTTTGTCACCTCGACCAATGCCCTCAGGGCATAGTTTGGTAAAAGTATCTAGAGTCATTTCCATCAAAATTTGTTTTATTATATTTAGTTAACGTTGATTGTACAAATGTTTATTTTACCACTTCCTGGTTTCGGGCAAGCTTTGCAAAGCTTACCCCACCCAGATCCTGCCGAACAACAGCACTCTTTTTCGGTGATTCTCTGCCGTCTTGGAGCTAAACAATTACCTGTATACCATACATACTTAATTATACACTATGCACAATATAAATAAATTAGCGTTATGTTAATATCATAACAGGCTTTTATATATTTCTGACCACTTAAAAATATATCATAGCAATGATCTTGTCTCGTGTCGATGCATTTCATTCCAGTTGAGCTAAGGACAAACCCGTCTGGGCACTCACATATGACCCCGCCGTCTGTGTTCATGCAAGTTCCTCCTTCACATATACCCGGTAATTCCTTACATTCATTAATGTCTAAAAATCAATTTAATACAAAAATCATTTTCCACTAGTGAATTTAATTTAAAAAATGTATGTACACACCAAGGCATGAATTTTTTGCCGCCGATAACCGGTATCCAGGAGGACATGTGCACAAGAACGAGCCCATTAAATTTTGGCATCTTCCTGGGGATGGACAGGTACCAGTAATCTAAAGTGTTATCGTGTAAATTCAGTAGTTAGTTATTGGGTGACTAGTGTTCATAAAGTATACGAGCACATTATCTTAAAATTAATTAAACTAGGGTTATTACTTCGGTACATTCATCTACATCCCTACAATGTTGTCCGTCCTGTGATAAGGTATAACCAGAAGTACATTCACAGCCAAACCTGCCAATCATATTTCGACATCGACCATTCCGGCATAAAAACGGCATCATTCTACATTCGTCAATGTCTAGAAAAACATTTTTCTTATGATTGTTAGATCATGTCGGTCATACTTTTTGTGGTTAAATTGTGTATACCTATACAGTCGTTATTGTGACTTAATTTAAATCCCTCAAAACAGCTGCACTTAAATGAACCTATGGTGTTAAAACATGTGCCGTTGTTGCAGACATTTGGATGTCTTTTGCACTCGTCCACGTCCACGCATGAATCACGGTTTGCCGTTAAGCCATATCCATTGTGACAGATACACTGAAAGCCTCCGTCTAAATTCGAACATTCTCCGTCTCGACAAATTCCATCCCGTTCGTAGCATTCATCAATATCTAAAAACACAAAGCTCACGAATAGCAAAAGAATTTCAAATAAAAAAAACACAACCAATGTTGTTAACAGTGTCTTACCGACACATTCTCTAGCGGTCGGTCCGAGTTTGTATCCGTCTGGACATTGGCATTCAAAAGTTCCCGGGACGTTGACACACTGGGCAATACCACGACAAGGTGGCGGAATCCGCAAACATTCGTTATCATCTTTAGAACGAAACGCCATTATTTAATAACTATAAATTACTTTTAAAAAATATATGTTTGAACGCTGTTCACAAACCAGTGCACTGATGAGAATTGGCGTCATACACGTATCCGCTATCACACGAACAATGAAAACTTCCTGGTGTGTTAACACATATTCCATGATTACACATGTTTGGCATTAGAGCGCATTCGTCGATTTCCTCTGTTTTGTTGGTCATTGGATTCATGATCAGACCCGGTCTCGTTCCGCACAACAGTAAGTACTCCTCTTTAGAAAAAGTCATTTTTATTCGTCAAGTTCGTGTATTACAAAGAAAATACTTACTGGTACCCGTGGCTGGACAAGGTTGACATGGTGAACCCCAAGCTTGTCCCATTGAACAACAGCAAATCATCCGGGTCTGACTGTTTGACATAGGCAACGAACATTGGTTGTCGGTATAGTTCAAATAACAGTTTTCTTTTCTCATGTCTACACATTCCTCTGGGAAATCGATCAAACATTATTTTTTTAATGCTCTATCGTGTTATATTTTCAATAATTAATGTTTTTCTTACTTCCATTTGATAATAACATATATCCATCTGGGCAAACGCAATGATATGTACCCACATCGTTCATACAAAACCCTACGCCACAAATGTCTGGTTTTTCTTCACATTCATTTACATCTTTAACCAAGAAAACACACGAGTTAATTTCATACGAACAACTAGGCTGATCAGTTTGAGCTTCTTACATTACCATAACAGAATGTACTGGTGTTATCTAACCGATAGCCCTCGTTACAAGAACACATGTAACTTCCAAATGTATTGGTACAGTGACCGTTTTTGCATAGGTTATCGTGTTCTTCACACTCATTTACGTCTTCTAAGATGACCTTTTTAAAATAAAACAATAAACATTTCCACGTAGTCGATTTACATCCTCGTACATGCGTTAGGTTGTATTTACCGTTGAAGGATTTGGTCTGTATCCCGTTCCTCCGGGACATAGAGCTTTATATTCCTCTGTATCGAGACTAGGACAAGATTCACACTTCGATCCCCATGCTTTGCCCACGGAACAACAACACGTAGCTTTAGACACAGGCGCGCCTATTTCATGATGACAACGTTTCCGACCACCTCTGTCTTCAATTTCCATATAGCATCTCCCCTCCCTTTTGTCTAAAACGAAATCATGTATTTATTACGAATCTCAAAATGAACTAATCTTGACGACAAAAATAATTGTCTTAAGAATTTTGTAAAAAGTGTCATAGTTTGTTGTAACTATCATACATAATACAAAAAACTAACCAACACATGCATTTCCAGCTGCAACAAGTTGATAGTTTGGTGGACACTGGCACGTGTAGTTTCCTTCGTTATTGACACAATCTCCGTAGAGACAAGCTTGAGGACTTTCACATTCATTTACATCAGTACAATTACCTAAACAAATTATAGTGGAAATAATAAATTACTAAACGTCTACAAAATTGTATTATCATTCAGCATTTACCTCCTGTATTATCTAAAGTATACCCATCATTGCATTCGCATCTGAATGTGCCAAATATGTTTTCACAGGTTCCAAATACGCATAAGTTATTAAACATCTGGCATTCGTTTATATCTAAGAATATTCCACATAAAAAAAAATACAAGTTTATACGAGTTAAAGTATTATTTACATTTTTATCGAATATAATGCGTATTAAGTTTTTCGTTGACGTTTTGATTTAATTGCAGAGATCATAATATCATTACCCATAAATGGCCAGTTATGTTTTTATTACTGTTTCAAATAGTAATTATATACCAAATTTGAAGATTGAATTTTCAATGGGACAACTATTTAAATAAGTATTTTACGAAAACATGATTTGTACAACAGCTGTTTCTAATCAAATTATGTTCAACTGTAGTATTTAAAAGCTTTTGTATAAATTCCACCATAAAACTCACCAATACAAGACCTTTCATTTTTGTCATCTGGATTGATAAATCCCATTTCACATTCGCATCTATATGACCCTGGGTAGTTAAGACAATGACCGTTCTCACATAATGTTGAATCTTCTAGACATTCATCTATGTCTGTACATGCATAACCATCACCACGAAAACCATCATCACAAACACACTGTTCGATACATACATAATTGTATTAATAAATAATTAAAACATATATTTGCTTTAAATCTAATTATCTATTAAATAAATATTTAATCTTTTTTAGGTAGTATATATCTGTACCCTGAAAGATCCGTCTTCGTTTATACATTGTGCATTTTGATCACAGCCTCCGTTGTTAGTCAGACATTCGTTTATATCCATACAGTTGTACCCATTCCCAGTAAAACCATCCTGGCATCGACAACCATACGAACCCTAGAATAATGACATTTAAGTATAATATATTTTATATTGGCGCGTGGATACAAAAACTCTAAATTAAACAATTTAGTTAAAAAAATTACCGGATTGTTAATACAAGCTGCATTTATATCACATCTGTGTGTGCCAATCTCACATTCGTCTTCATCCGTACAAGCGGGTCCGGAATCCAATTTCACAGTATATCCTTCTTCGCATCGACAAGTAAACGAACCTATAGTATTGCTACACTGCCCGTTACCACATATATTTTTGTCGTCACACTCGTTAATATCTATCAATAAAGTTTAATTGATTATTATAGTTATTTTAAAGAATTACTTTTTAGTATAGCTGAAATGTCTGAATTGAATATTTTACCCAAACAAGATGAACCATCGGATCCTTTCAATAGACCGCCAGAACATGAACAAAGAAAACTGCCTATAGTGTTGTTGCACTGACCACCGTTGCATATTCGAGGGTTCACTTCGCATTCATTTACATCTGCACACGTTCGCTTGTCTTCCATTAATGTATAACCAGCTCTATATAATAAAACCCCGTTGGTACAATGCATAAGTTTAATATTAACTATTAAATAACTCATACCGACAAGAACACATGAAGCTACCGGGCATGTTGATGCAAATAGACGAACAACCTCCATTATTTATCGTACACTCATCAATATCTAAAAATTAAACCGTACTTAAGACAACTTAATTAAGGAGATGTTGTTTTGTATTTTAGTTTTATTGGAAGAATAACGTGATACTTGCTTAAAATATATGATTTAAAATGAAGGGCACAAAGGAAGAAGGGTATTTGTCATTTTTTTAAATTTTAATTTTGACGTAATGGTATTATTCAACGGTATTGGGGCTACTAACGAATGTTGAAGTCCATTTGATAAAAGAGAAGTTAAGGTGGGCCCTCTGAGCGATTTAAAAACGGTTAACACTTAGATTTTTTGTGCTGACTAACTTAGTTGTTGTACTCTTGAAAAAGTTGTATAAATGGACAAATATCCCTTTTTCTTTGTGCCCTTAAAATATATAAGATCTTAAGTTACCCTCGCAGTAAAATTTTTGATCGGTTTGCCTATATCCTTCGTCGCAAACACATTGATAAGTCCCCATCATGTTTTCACACACGCCGTTTGAACAGATTCCACTAGTTCTTGAACACTCGTCGATATCTACATTAGTAAAAAAAAAACAAACAAATGAAATTTAATTAAATATTTCAAAAAATACAATTCGTATGTACATCACTGCGTCGTGTTTACCTTTACAACTCTGTTTATCTGCAGATAATTCGTGACCGCTAGGACATTCGCATTTATAGCTACCAGGAGTATTTTTACACGTGCCACCACGACACAATCCAGGTGTTATCTCACATTCATCGATATCTAAAATGTTTTGTGAAATAACGCACTTGTACGAATAAACAGTATTAATTCTTAATTTGTACGATTATTTACCCATGCAGACTTGCATTAACTGTGAAGTTTCGTAGCCTTCTTTACACTTGCACACAAAACTACCGGGTATGTTTTGACATTCGCCGTCCCCACAGACTCCGTGCATGATATTACATTCGTCGATATCTACAAAAATAAAAAAACGCTCATAGTAGATTTGATTGAATATGATTACGGGAAATAAAAAATCCTACCGACACAGCGAATTCCGGACTCGTCCAGAGCGTATCCTTGGCTACATTTACACGTAAAACCTCCCATTGTGTTTTTGCAACGGCCATTGCTGCATATTCCAGGAAATTCAATACATTCGTTTATATCCTTGCGATCAATGAATCCAGGACCCTAAAAATGCATAACAATGTTGCGCTGTTGGTTCACTAAACAGTTGTAAACTATAGCTTACTGACTTTTGGACATAGGTCGGTGAACGCTGGAGTACCACGTCTTGGACAGAGTTCACTTCTGCCGATGGCACCTCCTACTCCACCTCCCCAAGCTTTACCTATGGTAGAACAACAGCAAACACTGCGAGGATATAAACCTTCGAGAGGATTAACTCCAGCACCGTGTTTGAAGTCCGTGTAACACTTTTCCTCTCTGACGTCCAGGCAAATCGTACCTGCGCAAAACTTTAACTGTTAATGTTATCTAGATTTGTGAGCAAATGTATAACTTACCGGTAGTATCTAAGCTCAAACCCGGGGGGCAAACGCACGTGAATGACCCTTCTGTGTTCACACAAGTGCCTCCCCCTCGACAAACTCCAGGGCTCAATTCACATTCGTTTATATCACGACAAACTTTACCTACAGACTAACAAAATGTACGGAATAGTGAATACAAATTGTATGTTTTTATTTGCTTATTTTACCACATATCCCTTGTTACATTCACCACAGTCTTCTGATTTGCAAGGCTCGCATGGACTTCCCCAAGCTAATCCGATCGAACAACAACAATCGGATTTTAAAGTAAGTTGCACCAAGTTGTTTTCGCATTTACCGCCTGTCATGCGAGTCCAACACGAACCCCTGCGGTTATCTGAAATCAAAATCTACTGTATTATTTCGACGAGAACACAAACCTTATATTTCGTTAAATTTACCTAAGCAAACTCTACCGGTACTATCTAATTGTGTGCCAGGCGGGCATTCGCATTCGAAAGAGCCTGCTGTGTTGATACACTGACCAGCTACACATGCGTTAAAACCGATCTCTTCACATTCATCTACATCTTCACAAGCTTGACTTCTTGAATTTAATACTGTTCCCGCCGGGCAAGTACACTAAAACCATTAGGTCGTAATGAGCTCAATTGCTTCAACATTATATTACAGTAGATCTAGTGCTACTCATTTACTTGGAAGCTCCCTGGCGTATTACGACACTGTCCTCCGTTGCATATGGTTTCATCTACTTCACATTCATTTATATCTTTACACGATTTACCTGTGTCGTCCGCTTCGTATCCAGAATTGCAAATGCATCTGTAATTGCCAATGGTGTTTTCACAACCTCCGTTTAAACATACGGCAGGATTTTGAGCGCATTCGTTAATATCTGTAAAATTTTTGTAAACCATTTTTAGTTTAGTCAACTGAATGTCAACCTGTACTTTATTCGTAAGAACACATACCTTCACCATTATAGGTCATACCGGGTCCTTGTGGACAGAGTGTCTTAAATTCAGCGCTATCGGGTAAAGGACACTTTGAGCACGGTGAACCCCATCCTGGAGTCTGACCAACTATGCTGTGGGAACAACAGCAACTTGATTTCGTAACTGGCATACCGGTAGGTTGTAAACAAGCACCCTGTTGGTAGTTGGCATAGCACAAATCTCGAAGGGTATCTAAATAGAAATCAACGATTAAACGATGAATGTACTTCTTCAACAAACTGTTGGTGCTTTACCCAAGCATGTCCGCCCATCTGGTCCTAAATAGAAGCCATCTTGGCATTCGCAGCGAAAACTTCCAGCCGTATTGACACATTTGCCACTTTGACACGGATTACCACTATTTGAGCACTCGTCAATATCTGACAAATTTAAATACACGTTAACGAATATGCATTTAGTGTATTGCATGCAACTCACCTATGCAATTCTGTCGATCCGGTGAAAGACGATAACCAGAATCACAGAGACATTTATACGATCCGTCAGTATTGGCGCACTTGCCATTTTTACAAAGTCCTGGCCTTCTCTCGCATTCATTGATGTCCGCACAAAATGCACCATCTGGCGAAACGGTATATCCTGGTTGACACTCACATAAATACGAACCAGGAGTGTTTCGACATCTTCCGTTCAAACAAATTCTAGGGTTTTCATAGCACTCGTCAACGTCTAAAAATGACATACATCACAATATTAGAACAAATGGTGCACAACAGATCCGTCAAGTATTGTGTTGTAAGTAATAAACGGTTTTCTTATAAAAAAAACACAAATTAAGAACTTTATTTTTTTATGAAACATTAATAATTAAACGATTTTTTTCAATATCAACAAAATTGTCAATGTGTCATAAGTCATAAATATAAATTGTATACCTATACAAGAATGCCCGGTTTGTGACATTATGAAACCCGATTTGCATTTACATTGAAATGATCCTTGGACGTTTATACACATCCCGTTTGCACACATTCCATTTTTTTCGCATTCATTGTGGTCTGTTACATAAATGAGTGTTATTTAAAAAAGAACTTTCAAAATGTCGAACGGTTTGGCTATATACCTATGCAACGTTTCCCATCAGATGCTAAATCGTACCCTAGGGGACACGAACAAATGAAGCTTCCCGGTGTGTTGCTGCATTGGCCGTTATTGCAAATCCCTTGTTGTAAACATTCGTTTATATCTGAAAATAATATTTATGTACAATGTAAATATTGAGTGTTCCGACAAGGCATTTGGTTTTTAAAGCGTTATTTACATATAGATGACTAGCCTTCACACACTTGCGAGTCTTCGTGACGGCTCTTTGAGAAACCGGGATGACATTCGCACGCGTATCCATCCACCGTATCAATGCACTTCCCACCAGTACCGCAGATCTCCGGTCTTAAACCACATTCGTCTACCAAGTTCAGCACTGTGTGATTAGATTTGCCACCCAAGCATATTTTTATGTATTCAGCTGGAAATATCATTGAACAATGGAAATCAAAACGAAAACTAGTATTTATAAAGTGGATAAATAAAATGAACATACCCATTCCTTGTGACGGACAGTGTTCACACGAGTTCCCCCAACCTTTGCCCATGTCTTTGCCACAGCAACAATCTTTTTTGGACAGTTTCATCGGCAAAGGGTCTACACATTCTTGATTCGAAGAAATTCTCGTGTAACAATTACCTTGTTGGGTGTCTGTCAGAGCATAATGAACGTTTAAAATTCAAATTGCATTCGAGTAATTAGAACTTAAAGGTTATCTCTTATAATTTTGTAATATATTCTAGTTAATCATACAACTGACCTATGCATCCTTTTCTGTCCGAGGTCGGTACGAATCCTTGCTTGCAAATACAATAGTATGAGTTATCGGTATTGACACAATATCCATCTTGACAAATGTTTGGATCTCCTAGTTTGCACTCGTTTTCATCATCGCAAACGTGGGTCACTGAATTGTGTACTCGTCCTTCGGGACAAATACATTTAAACGATCCAATGGTGTTTACACACGCACCTCCTTTGCAGATTCCTGGTATGGCCTCGCATTCGTCAATATCTAAATATTAACATGTTTGTTTTATATAAGTACCTTTAGTTATTCAATGTAATTAACCATACCTATACACTGATTGGAGTGTATGTTTTTTAAGAAACCAATGTCACAGTCGTAGCTCAGCGAACACTGCTCACACGGGTGACCCCACGCTTGACCAATGGTAGCACAACACAATTGTTTCGTACATACTACTCCTTCTAATTGCCCTTGGCACATGTCGTTTATCACTCTTGTGTAGCACGGTCCAATTCGATAGTCTTGGATCATATAAATTTAAATAGAAACGATGATAATCGTACATTTTTATACAGTCACGCAAACAGAGTATTGTTGACAACATTAGGTAAATGTTTAATTAAGCACAAAATATGTTGACAGACAAAAATTCATTTTTAGCGTTTTAATACCTCAAACACTTGGATTCTATCCAAATACCGAAGTCACAAATATTTAAGAATAATATGATCATTATAAGATGGGTTAGGGAATATGTAGCTGTTATGAGTTATTATTTACCAACCGGCTTCGCATCTCCTTCCGGCGTATCCGTAAACACACGCACATCGATCTGGCCCAATGCAGCGACCGCCATTTAAACACCCGTCCCTACAAATCGCTGTAAAATATAAAAGTTATTATACACATAATTATTACTATCACGAACCCGAATACTTACGGTCGGCGCAGTTTTCTCCATTGTAACCGTGTCGGCATATGCATGTTGTTCCCTGACAAGTACCGCCGTTAATGCAGGGGTACTTACAGGCTTGATTTCTGGTGTCCGTTGCAATGACAGTAGCGACTGTTGTCGATGAGTTCTTGTTGTTGATCGGCAGTTTCTCGAACTTATCGGGTCGTTGGTCTTCCGAATTGTTTGTGATCATCGAATCTCGAATGTCGTCCGGCAGACATGCCGATCGAACAGATCCCTCATCACACAAACACATGTTCGGTTTGATGCATCGACCGCCATTGCAAGGTCTGTTGCACACCGCTAAAATAGACGAATGAACATTGCATTACATTTATCAACATTATAGAATGAGAATTATTGTCAGACACCCACGTGCTGTGTACTTCTATACCCGTTGCGCGTTTATGTGCCAACAAGTAATCTTCTGCCTCTAAGCAATTGGTTAAATAATAAATTAAAGATACTTACGTACAATACAAAGACCGGTCGCATGCTTAATTGTCCATCCCGGACAGCAGTAGTTTCGAAATCGTGAACGACAGACATTTGGTCTGGAAAAAAATGTACATCATAGCGCATTTAGTGTATGCGAGATGGGCCAAAAATTGTAGTTAATAACGTATGGAGTGATAGGGCTATGGAGTTGAATAAAGTCAGTTTTATAATTTGTTGGGTATCGAGTAAAAACATTGTACAGTATAAAATTTACAAAACAGAACTAGTGTAGACTCTTAGATTAAATCTAAAATGTTATAAGAGATTTGATTTCCATGTGTCATTTTTTTCACCCCAAATATTTTCGAATTAAACTAATATTACAAAGTTGTATAAAGTGGGCAGGAATTATAAAGTGACAGAAAACCTTTTTTTTTTAAATATTTAGTTAAGTATTGAATTTTTGGTTAATTCCTTAGTCTATAAAACAAAAATGTAAAAGAAATTAAGTACGCTAATAAAATTTGCTTAGAACTTTGATGGTATAAATTCATATTAAATCAATCAGTGACCATCTATATTGCAACTTTGTTTTAGGTTAAGTCTAAGAGAACTTATATAATGTTTTAAAATTAAAAAAATAAGAATACAAGTATAAGGTAATACATACAAATGTTTCAATGAAAGTTTAAAAATATCTAATTTAAATATTTCAATTTATTAATACAAGTCAGTTCCAAGAATTTTAACTTAAAAAAGGTTAAAAAACATCATAATACTGTTGTGCTAAAAATATTAGTTCCCACTTGAGATTATTAACAGCAAATTTAAAATAAATAAATGAATAAAAAAAAAAGAAATGTCCAAGCTTCGCACGAAAACTAACATTTAATTATAGTTTTGGAGATTCTTTGTCAAAAGAAAAAGTAAAGCTTTTCATACAGAAGTTTAAAGAATAAAAGCTTTGCAACAGGGAGCTAAGTGAAGGGGATAATCAGTAGTTTAGTTAAGAATCAGAAAAAAGGAGAGGGAGATGGAGCAGAAGGCGGAGGAAAGGGGAAAGGGGAAAGGTGATACATTTTGTGGGGTAAAGGATGGGACGGAATATGTAGGTGTGACACACTATCGACTGATATTTTTAATCTGGGTTTTAATAGGGATGGTCATGATTAATGTTATGTTAAAACTATAAACTTTTATTGATTTTTAAGCTCATAAACAAATTGTTTTCAATTGAAACAAAATCTGAATAACTGACCAACTCAATGCAAGAATATTAATGAAGTATTATTCATTAAATAAATATATGTATATAACTTATACAATATAAGTCAATATGCTTAGTAAGAACCTAGTACAGTAATAACCAAACACTATAAATAAATACCGATATAAAGAGAGCACAGTATAAACTATAAATAACAGTTAATCCAGCTTATGCTGGGATCAAGACGGTCGCTGGATTGGATTGGATGCAGTAATAAATTCGAAAATGATTAAATCACTGTCAGGCTCTTAAATGCGAATCCGTAAACGGTGCTATAAACCATGTACAATCTTTTTTCTTTTAAATAATTTCAAAAAACTTTTGCTTTTGCGAAAATCAACGAAATAGAATTCACACACTTTACTAACTATGCGTTAATATTAAATTAACTTTTTTATTAATTTAAAAATTTTTAAGATAGAAACCGTTGGCTTTGTAATAGAATTTTTTTTACACTTTTTTGATCAATTATTTTTATGTACATTGAGTATACCAAAGACAAAATATACAGAAGTATATTGTTGTTCAAAATGTCAAAATTCTTTTAAACCCTCAAAATTGTAGCATACCGTTAAAATTGATAAAATTATGTGTAAAATAACATGCAAGGCTGTCATACAACTCCACTATTAATTATTATCTACTTCCTTTCATACAGGATATTCGATACTATAATATAATGCCCATATAAAGAGTAATGAACTACATAATAATATAGCCCCATATTACTATTTGTCAATGCCATGGTTAATATTTGTCACTTTACCTAACTCTTAATTATTAATTAATATCTTGTTACAAGAATGATAATTTAGGTAGGCTCATATTTTATCTATAGACAATTAGCCGTGTGAAATGGGTTAATATCAATTTAACTCACAGAACAGAAAAGTACAGTCGAGTTTAAATAAATCACTCAGTTGTCTTAAATTCATAGCTCAACATTAAATTTTAATGTAATTAATTTTAATATTTCACTAAAAATATAATCTAGTAAGAAAGTCAGTAAATTTTAAACGCAGCAATTTTAAATTTATTTAATTTAATTTTTACCGAACTAGTGTTCGTTAGTGAATTTTACGATGATTTCTATTAATATGATTATACATACATATGTAATATGTATTATTATTATAAAATCTTTACTGTTTTCTTTGTAGGATTTTTTTTCTTGTAAATTTTTGTTCGTCTTTTATAAGTTTCTTTATTGCGTAATTTTCTGTTAGGTAACTAAAAAATACATTTTTTTCTGCTTAACGTTTTCTCTGATGATTCTTTTTCCACTATTATTGAAAATAACGTTCTACATTAATAATTATGTTACACAACATTTGTTTGTGAACTTAAGATACACAATAATTTATTATAAAGTACATTGTATATCGCTACACTAATTGACTATCCCGTATAGTATGCAAATTGAGCCTTTTTTCCAGAGGGAACAAATAATAGTTCTATTTTTATTTAAAATTGCGTAAAGCGCAAAAAAGAAAATGCATTGTCTAAAATGGTAATACATTTACCATTTTGGGGTCTTAAAATAAATTATACTGTGCGATACAATAAGGTATTAATATACATACGCTACATACAATCAATAACCATATTATATGCTAAGCTATATTCATCATTTATTTCAACTATAGTGTACAAACGCGTCCCTTTTTTTATAATAAGTTGCACGAATAAAGTAACTGATTGTTTTATTAAATTTCTGGAAATAGATACAAACATTTTTTAATGCAACCTTTTATTCTTATGTATACGGCATACCTACTATAATATGTATAGAGACATAATAAACAATTATAACCTTTTTTTTTTCATTATTAACTAATAATATATTATTATTATTTATCGCTATCACGGACCATCACTAAATTTCAAGATTTATGATGTAGAAAGAAAAATAGAAATAGAAATAATCGATCAGTCGTTGAGACCCAAAAAAACGTTTATGTACCGGGTGATTCTTAAAACGCCTATTACTAATTTACTCTTAAAACAATTACAGTTTTGAAAGGTTTCTTTTTATAAGCATTTGTATTTATGTTATAGTGCAATATTCAAATTTTTATCTTTTTACTATTTGCTTGAGCTTTATCAACTTTTGAAATTTATATAGGTATTTAATTTAATTTTTAAATTAAGAGTAATTCACTAAAAATGTTAACTGGTCAATAACCGCAGTTTTGAATAATTATTTTTTAATTTATTTAAGTTTATAATTTAGGTCGGGTGGTGGAAAAATACAAATACAAATTATTTTTAAATAGAACTGGTGTAGGGCGATGAAAGAATCACCCGGTATAACTTCAGGCTTATTTTTTCCGCTTGTGTCGGTAAACGAAAAGAAAATGGGTCTCTCAATATTTTATTCAACCAAATGTCTTACATATCCTTTTAAGAATATTAATTTATCGTATCATCACTTTGTTCATGACGTAGGTATATTATAACGATATTTACTCATGCAAGACGTGTAAAGCTTTTGAATAATATAAAATAATGTAGAACTGACAGAATGTAACAACTAAGCATTTTTTCCTTATCCGCACACGTTTTAAAACAATAACAAAATTAAATCCTTCATCAAAATACATTTTATATTTTATTATGCTTGTAAAAGATAGAAGTTATTGCGCACATACACTTATTTTATTTCCACTAGGGAATCCGCTTCACTGCAATAATAAACTTTTAAAAATAAATGATTAGCTTATGATAATGTTTGAATTCAAATAAAAAGTTAAATAGTAAGGATGGAGCAGAGGTGTAGTCACAGGGCTGTAGAAATTATTATAACGGAGATTGGTGAAAAATTAAAATCTCAAGTAAAACACCTCAATGCGAATGGTTTGGTTGTAAAATGCAAATAATAAATATCGTCAAATTAATTGTAAAGGCAATACTGTGGTTACAATTCGTTTATAGTATTAGGGTCGAAATAAATAATATAATAAAAATGTTTTTCTGACACCTGTTAACTGTAGATTCATTCCTAATGGCAACGCAGAAATTTTAATACGGTCAAAATACACTTTCTCCTTTTATTTTGATTTTCTTCTTAATAAAATAAAAAGGAACGACTACAGAATTATTGACGCTAAGGCTACGCTCGAAAAAAAGAGAAAAAGGTTAAGTTTGATCATTGAATTTGTAAATGCTTCAACAGATGTATTTTTATTAAAAAATAGTAGGTATTCAGAAAGTTTAAATTTAAACAAAATTAAAATAAATCGAAAAATCCGTTTTGAAATCGATTATAATCCTGTTTTTTTTTTAACTCGATACGACATCTTTTTGAAATTTTGTATAAATCCTTTTCTTAAAAGTTATAAAAATAATATTCAGTTTAATTATCGTTACTCAATTCACGCTTTCCTCGTTTCTATTGTAGTACGGTCTAGATGACTATATTTTTGTCCTCTTTTTTTTTTTTTTTTCCTGCAAAAAAATCGAGTTTTGGTTGAAAATCCGAAATATTTCCAAACTTTCTTAGCAACGGTATGAAAATACTACTATACTATCTACCTACAACATGCGCATTAAATACTACTATTTATGTGCCGAGTGCCCGCATATTCTAATTATTATAAACACCCGGAGAAGAATTCGTTCAGGATTTTTACTACCACATGTGCGCGTGTCGTAACAACAAGTGGAGATTCCTTTTTTACTAAAAAATGGCAATAATCCTTCACAAAGAAAATAAAACTTTCTATAACGGGATCCCGTCGGAGTCACTTAAAAAAAGGTACTGCGCGTGAAACGAATTATTAATTAAGTAAACGCTAGCGCTCGACCCTTAAAAAAAAAAAAAATACTTCCGAGTCCTATTTCAAAAACTTGAAAAAAATCGTTTGAAGTAATACCGCAGTGCTAGCTTATGATTGTTGATGTCTTTTTTGCGTGGATGCTATAAGTCTCGCTATGTTCCAGACGCTATGAATAGAAATTTGTCCATCGTGGAAAATAATATGAAGAGTATAAATAAGAAAAACATGCTTTGCGTGGGCTTATAACTTTTATAATACAAGCAAAATTAATAGGGAAAAGTGTCAATACTCGAAAATTACTTTTTCAAAAGAAAACACTCATTTTTTTATAAGATAATAATAATATGTCATATCCTTGGTTTTAGAGATTTGTAAATCGATATACTAAACTCACAATATATTCATCCCTTATTTCAAATAACAACTTATGTTTTTAATTCCATTAGGTTCTTAATTATGTAGCCATTTAGACTGATTTATCCTAATTTAGGATTTCACTGTTAAGGAACAGAACTGTACAAGAACAAAAAGTCACTAAATTTTAACTGATGAGATCGGTATGTGCTGTTTTAACAGCTAATGGTAATTTCTGAGAAAGCCGTTGAAGATGTATACGTGTCTATCTTTCCAAAAACAAGCTAATGATTATACAGAGTTGGGTAGTGAAACACCGTATTTGAATAAATACATAATTATTTAATATATCAACACAAGAAAATAAAAAAAAACAGAAATTCAGTATAAAGTAACTTCTTACTTTAGTAGTTCTCAAGTAGACGTTCCAGATAATCAGATCAATCGGAGTTGTGAATTCAAAAGAAAATAAGCGGATTTTGTCTTTTATACTATTTCACAGGAGAGCAAAACCAATATTATATTTCAAATGTATTCTTGGGATCATTAGACTTCTTCAATATCTGTTATAAAAATTGACTAATAATAATATAATAAATCAAATATGGCGTTTCAATAATATTTAAGTACTGTTGCTTACATTTTAATTTACATCATAATATCCAGTCCGAGATCTGATTAGACAAATGCCTGTGATGCAATGAAAGTTTATGTTTTGAGTTATTATATTGTAATAATTGTAAGTTCGGCGAATTACCGTCTAAAAATTTAATCCTAAGCGCGCACGGGAATCGAGCGCAGGGTTTTCCTCCAAAAGTTCTCATGTACCTTATCCCCTTAAATTGTTTAATAATATATTTTTTATCCTTTTTGATTCGCACCACTTCGGTTATATTACCGAATCACCGACCGATTTACCGCAGGTTAAGTGTAAGTTTGTCGTTTTTTTTTTCTTTGGAGAAACTATATTTGATTGATTACCTTTTCTAAAAGCAATCGATTCAGCCGGGGACTCTAAAACGTGTGTGTGTGTGTCGTTTTACCGAAACAAAAAAAAGTATGATTATTTTTATTTTTCGTTTGTCAATGTCATATTATAACTGTCGCTTTTAAACAAATCGGTCGTTTAGGTTACCGGTAATAATACTTGCGTTGTTCTTTCATAATCGCGTGTAGTAAGTAGATGTCGGATTTGATTGTTACTATACATTTTAGGTGTTTTTTTTTTTTTTTTACTTACCCACCGACCGGGACCAGGTGAGCCGAATCGCCCGGGTCGCCGCTGTTGATGGCCGGTGGTTGCGCCCGCGTTACCGCCACGAACACGGCGACCACCACGGCCAGTGTCCGGCCAACGCCACCCGGAAGTCGTGTCACCATCTCTCGGGCAACCGCCCCTGTATCAGCTGTAGCTGCAGCGTGCGATCACCTACGGCCGCACATGACACTACCTTGGGTCGTTGAATTTTTTATTTCAAATGACTCGAATGATTTTTACTACGGTTGTCGTACAGTATACAGCACCGTCAGAGCTGTCGAGCCAAAAAACTTAACACCGAAAAAAGTCCAACCCGAACCGCGTGTCGAAACCGTACGGTCAGTGTGCGGTTTTTGAAAAAAAAAACAAATATATATCCCCGTCTGAGAACGGTTGCACTTGCTTACACTGCCGACATACTACCGCCAGTTACTAAAATATAGTACTGTCTCGTGTGTGCCGCCCGTCAGAGTTGTATGCGATGCGATACCGCATCATTTCAATGTTATCCCACCCGGTATATTCTGGGCGACCACCACCGCGGTGGCTTATACATACTCTCATCTCACAACCGAGCTCGTCTCTGTGTGTGTGTGTGTGTGGGTGTATAAAAATCATATACATGCATATTATGTGTGTGTGTATACGCACTAGTCAAAACGATATGCATACCTAATATAATATAGTACGGCCCGTAGTACGTTGTGTAATATATATTTATAGATCTGTCGACCCTAGCTTATTTTATAATATTGTCGCATGCGTTGCCGCCGGCGCACGTGCAGCAGTAGCCGAGGTCTTTTTGGCCGCGTGTTCGTGTGGCTCTAATTAAAACAATTAACCACCACAATGTTATACGACCGCAGCGTTTCGTCTCTCTGGCCGTTGACGTTTTCCTGTTGCAGCACCGACGGATCCAGCAGATATAATTACCGACTTGTGTATCCGTTAGCCGAGTTGCTCTAGAAAACATTATAGCTCATATTATGCTACCCTTGTTCCTGTACCCTGTCTATACGAAACAATGTGGCTTTTGAGATAACTTAACTTCCACGTCACAGTGAATGAAGAGTTTTCAAGCGAATATATCGTGGTCGGCAATATTAGACACATATATCTTTCAGCCCTTCGCCACCTCACAAAATCTAGGGATTAAATAAAGTTAATGCGCTATCTCCAACAACGTAATCGTTAAGTGAATTAGCTGGCTTTAACAACTAAGCGCCTTAGGTTTCAGTAAAGGTTAAAATTGAAAAATTTAAGTCCCTAATAGTAGTAATTTTGAAAACAATTATTATCTCCCTAACGGTAAACTGCCGTTGTGGTTGGAGAAAAAAAATTTTTTTTTAGTCATACAATTTGGGAGACAATTTTGTACCCCAAGTTTCGCTATTTTCAGAAAATAACTTAATTGTTTCCCCGGTATTTCAAAGACAAGCAAATTGTCGTTTTGTCCAATAAGGCAGATTCTATATTGAATAAACGTAGAATATAATTTATTTCTGGTTAATGGTGTCACCAGAATCTACAAGGAAAGTAAATAGATCAAAAGATTCAAGCTTTATTGTTCAACGTCACATCGTTGAATTACCTTGCATGGATAGCATATAGAAAGTACCGAATTAGTCCTGAAGTCTAGACAAAATGCGTCTTACTTGAATTTAGTTCGAGACAACAAGATATGCCCGTTCAAATCGAACAGTATGATCATTCTAAATTATTTTAGTATAAAGACAAAACATGCAAAGATTTAACTGTATAGCATTAAGTATTACAATTGAATTATCGACAAAAAAATTAGAAATTCAAAAAAGACCAAGAATAATTTAACCCAACCGACATTTCTTGGCTACGACGTGAATTTTATACAATAAGACTTATTTATTCTATAATGGGAAGAATTGTTGTGTGCAGTGTGCAGTGTGATTATGTTCGACATATTTTTTACGCGTTAGCAGTCTTGTCCATACCTTCCAATTTGTTGTTCATAACACGGAAGAAGATTCTAATTGTTTGGTCGTTTTTCTTGACACCTGCTAAAATACAATTTAATATGACAACTTATGTGACGCTAGTGAAGTCAAACGCTTGAGTTTTATGCGAAAAAAATACCACAGCCCCAGTACTAGTTTTGTTGTTATGTACTATTTAAACAATGATAAAATATTCGAATTAAGGTCTTGGTTCAAATTTGAACATTCTTCAATTCAATTCAGTAATTGTCTACAAAATAAACACATTGTTTAACCAATTGATGTTGGCCTTGAGTAAAATACTTATTAGCAAAGCTACGACACAATTATTATAATATTAATATTATTGCAACATTGATAGTGTGCGGTACAATCAGTTATATTCTACAACATTTCGTAGGAGATACCGCCGGGTATAAACCCACTAATGATATATTTTTACGTTGGCCCAAGTTTTTTGGAGGAAATATGCCTAAGGCCTTAGGGAGATAATATGAACATGACAAATAATGGAAAAGGAAACTATGCAAGCCAGTCGCGTAGGGGTTTGCCCGAGTACAAATGACGTCCGTCTTGAAATACTGATATGTTTTCTATAATACAAAAAACCTAATTTTTCATAATATAACAATATACTATTGGTAAAAAAAAAAGACCGAGACCAAAATACATAGTTATTACTTATTACTTAGAATTAGGAAGTCATCCCCCCAAAAAAAACGAACAATACAACTAAGTATAAATCCTTGTATGATATATTTCGGTCAATAATTTGGTTTTTATTATACAATTACCATATCGTTGAAAACTTCAAATTATTATTACTCATTCAGAATGTACGTCATATTTGACTAGTTTCAATCATAATCTTTGTACAACATTTAACGAAAAATTTTTGAAAAGCAAATCCTGGTAATATAATACATCGAACAAGTTATTTCCATATATAAAAACATGACAATAGTTTCAAACTAAACTCAAATAATTTGTCACTGAATGAGTATTTAAAAAAAAGAAAACATTTTCAAGAAACAAACTAATTCAACATGAAAAAAAGTTATTTTAAAAGTTTTTATTTATATTACCTACGTTAATGGACTTTTGTAATAATATTTTAAAGTTTGAAAATGCCATGACTTTGTATTTAATAAAATATTTTATTAAATACAAAGTTCAACGCTAAAATTATCATGATTCTTTTACTGATAAGTATATAGTAAGATTCATTAAAATGATATTGTTTTGTATTTAACAACAACAAAGTAAATAAATGTGTGCAATTTATTCTTCAACCAGAAATAGTTTCATATAAGTATGATTAAATTATAAGTGTTTTTTGTTTATATTTTTATTTAAAGTAAATAAATCAAGGACACATTTTATAACAGAATAATCCATAATCAGATTTTTAAACGGTAATTTGAGTGCATGGCATATGTAATACAAAGAAATTAATGTACAATTTACAATGTATTAAAAAAAAAATAATCATAAATTACTAAACAAACGACCCTGTGCAAAATTGGCAAGAACAATGTAACAAGACAACTTCTTACAGAAAGTTAAATTATAAATCAAGATGCTTTTTGTATGCACAAAAGGTAAGTGTTTATTTTTATTTTATCATTTTTCTTAGCATTCTTTTAAAAAACTATATTTTATACAAAAAGGTCAGTGTTGAAAAAATCTAAAGTAATGTTCACGAAACCCAACACCTCGATTTTATATATTTTCACAACGATTTTCAGAAAATAGAATTTCGCAATATTCATGTTGTTTTTAATAGGTAAACATTTTTACTTTATTAAATTTATTTTTGTGAAAATGTACCTACTGCAACCTAGGGATGATCATTTTATTTTATTTTTTAGTCACTTATATAGATATTAAAATTGTTACACTCTTATAGTTAAATCGTATTCATTATAAAGTTAATTTTAAGTTACAATAACATTTTCCAAGAATTGTATCCCATATTATTTGGGTAACTCATTTTAAAGCTCTTCAAACAAATTACAAAACTACTTTATGAATATTTATCAACAAACTATTTCATATTATGTTCGTCTCGCCAACCCCCTTTTCAGCAGGAATGTTTTAATAATAAACAATAAGCATATTGTTCTAATAAGGTTCCGTCATAATATAGCTTTTAAATGAAATCACAGTTATTTCATAATAATAATTTCACATGTCTTACAATTACAGTTATTTCATTTTTCGTGATATTAAACGTTAAACACGACTATTGATGTATGCAAGTCTGTAGACATTTTTATGAAACAATTTTTCTATTACAATTCCCATCTACGAATTCTCAACGTTCATTAATGAGTAGGTACGTGGAATCTCTTATATTTGATTTATACAAATATTTGTAATAATATACATTTTTGGTAAATTTAAAAAATCCTTTTTTCTTATATTATACCTTAAGATTTTTCAACTGTCTCAGCTTATGCCGCATTTTATGCGTTTGCGTCGTTTGAAATATTTTTTTTTTAAAAACATCACACGTCCGACTTTTATTTTTAGATGACGTTTTTAGGATTATTGACGGCTATTGCTCGAAAGCAAAATAAAGTAATTATCATAACCCGGCTATGTTTTTTTTATACTTTTACTCGCACAGTTATTATAGACCATTTGGGCGCTGAGCCTAATGCACTTGGTCCATTATTGTCGCAATTTTCCATTGTTGTAATATAACCAAATTGGTTTATCCTCGAGACGCGGCCACCATCCGGTACTATAGCGTGGTGAATGGAGAATATTATCAATTACTTACATAATGATTAGTCGTAAATTGAAATCGGATTTAATTAGTGAACTATATTACGGATTAATGTGTTATAATAATATTATTTGAGCACACACACACACCAGCGGTCGGCGAATCGTGTGCGGCCTCTTTCAGTATTTTATGTTCGGTGTCAATAACCACGTTATCGAGACAGGAACTTGCGGTTTTTGATTAATGGTGTATAATATCCGATGACAAATTATTAACAATGTGTTGGCCAGAAAATCCCGTTCAGGAACCTATACAACATAGTCGATGATCGGTCGCACGTTATAAATTAAATTTACCGACAACCGGATTAGATATCCAGTTACTCTTTCCCGACGAAAAGATGAGGTAGATTGATAAATCTCGACTATGATCACCGGGTATCGGAAAGCATAACAATGGCACTAAACTCATATTCTGGCCCTCCTTGCCCCGTTGTTTTTTATATAAATATATTATTAAATTAACTTTTGTACATTTTACTGGGTACTTGAAAAATCTCCAACAAACATTTAAATTATTACTCTATGAAAAATAAAAATAAAATGTATTGTTAACATTTTTCCCCAGACAATATTTATTAATTTTTAATCAGTTCTGCAATAAGAGTTTCTTGAAAAACGTGTAATGTACCATATACCGCAACAATAAAACTGGACACCTCTAGCTCTAAAACTAACCGAGTACTATAATAT